ACACTCCTGAGGTGTCCAGCTCGCACTGGTGTCCCCACACAAGGGACTCACCCCGGTGCTCGGGATGGCTGCACACGGCTTCAGCCTCCGAGCCCGGGCGGGGGGAGAGGAACTCCGGTCGCCTGCAGCCCGCGCCCCGCCCGCCCCGTGCCCCGCCAGCCCCCGCGACCGCCGACCCCGGGCCCCGGCTGTGCGGGCCCTGCCCATAGCTGCCCCCGTGCCCCCGGACGCGGCGCCGACTCACGTGAACACGAAGAAGAGGGTGCTGGAGCCCACCAGCAGCGCGGCGGCCGTGGCCACCGGGATGTATTTGGCGGGTTTGAGGCGCGTCCCGGGGCTGCGGGGCATCCTGGGCGCCGCGCCGCCGCATCCCTCCCCGGGGCCGGGCGGGCGGGGCCGGCCGGGGTCGGGCCGGGGTCGGGCGGGCGGGCTGGACGCGGCGCAGGACCCGCGGCGGCGGCGGCGGCGGCGGAGGAAATCCCACCCCACGGGCGGCGGCGGCGGCGCGCTGATGTCAGCGCGCCCCTTAAGGTGGACCGGGCGCCGGGGGCCGCGCGGGGGCGGTCCGAGGCGTGGCGAGTCCACGGGGCCCGGAGCCCGCCCACCGGCTCGCGGGACCCTCGGAGGGGGAGGGGGCGGGGGCCCCGCAGCCTTGGGGACCCCAGGCCGGCGGGCGCCCGCGGCTCTCGGGGGCCGCGCACCCACGCACCCCTGCGGCCCGGCCGGCCTGTGGGCACCACGATGAAGGTCAGGCCCCCCTGGTCCCGGGCCGCGGAGGCGCGCAGGTGGCCTTGGGGGCGTCTGTGGGCGCAGTCCTCTCTCTAACGACCCCTCTCGTCTGGAGCCCCCTGGCATTCACGAAGGGGCGCGGGTGTAACGCCGCAGCGCTGTCCTGGCTGCTTGCCCCTGACCGCATCGCAGCCCTCCCAAGGACCACTGGGCTGGAGGAGCCCGGCCAGCGGGCACCCGGCCCTCCACGTCCTGCCCGGAGCTACAGACTTGAGAGAGGGTCGGCTGGAGCCCCCATCGTCCCCAAGGCGGGGCCCCTTGGGAAGCCCGGCGCCCCGGCCCTGCCCAATAGGCCCGGCGCGCCCCCTGCCGCAGGAAATCCCACCCGCCCCGTCGCCGCTTAAGGTGGACTGGGCCGGGGCCGTCAGCGCTGTGGGCGGGGCGGGGCCCGGTGCGGGTCCCCCTTGGCGGAGCAGGCGACCTCCGCCTGCTCGGTCAAGCTCTGGACCCTCCTCAGCGAGGGTCATTGTCCTCAGCCACTCCACCATGCCCCCAGCGCCCCCTGTTCGGAAACCCAGACCCATTATACCCCTCCCCAGGTGGAGATCTGCGGGGGTGCCTCACCCATCGCCCCCAGCCCTGACTGTCTGCTCCTCTACCACCAGAAGCCCGTGCAGCCCTACCCTGCTGCACAAGCATGAGGCTCCTTGGCCTGGAGACCCCTGCTCGCCTGGGGAAGCACCCGGCCCCAGCTCCTCGGGGTGGGCAGGCCAGGGCTGTGGGCTGCTTGCTGCTGGAGAAAGGAACTGGGGCTGGGACCCAGCGACCCAGCCCTTAATGCAACTAGCTAGCGCACAGCAGAAACGGTGACGGGCTTTCTCCCAGGCAGCCCTGGTGGTAAGCACTGCTCTCAGGGTGCCCTGCTCCACGAGGCCCAGCACGAGGCGCTCCCAAGCACTGACCTTAGGAGGCAGTGGAGGGGTCTTTGCGCACAGTGAGCCTGGATAAGACCCCACAGCAGCAGATGCCTCCTTACCTGGGCTCTGCAGTGGCCACCAGCAAGCCTCTCAGTTGGCAGCACAGCTGCCACCTGGCGCCCATCCCCAGCCTCTCCCCTGCTCCTGCCCTCCTCCAGGAAGTGCCTCCTCTAATGACACACACCACAGAGCCCCTCGGGGTCTCGGTCTGACCCCATGCCCATGCTCTGTGCAGGGTGCCAGGACTACCACCTTCCTCCACCAGCTGAGCCCTGGAGACAACTGCCAAATGCTGACCGTGGGAAGCGGAATCAGGCCTACTTGGTGAGATCCCTTTTCTCTTGAATTTTTAACAGGGGCTTGCTCTGCTGCTGCCCAGGCTGGAGTGCTGTGGTGCAATCATGGCTCACTGAAATCTCAACCTCCAGGGCTCAAGCAATCCTCCCACCTCAACTTCCTTCCCACCTCAACTTCCTTCCCACCTCAACTTCCTTCCCACCTCAACCTCCCAAGTAGCTGGGACCACAGATGTGCACCACCATGCCCGGCTTTTTTTTTTTTTTTTTTGGTAGAGATGGATTCACATTATGTTACCCAAGCTGGTCTTGAACTCCTGACCTGAAGTGATCCCCCCGCTTTTGCCTCCCAAAGCGCTGGAATTACAGGTGTCAACCATCGCATTTAGACTTAGGATCCCTTTTCCTCAACACAGAGGCGTCCCAAGTGGTGCAGACCCGCTGCTGGAGACAGAACTGAGCGAGGTTGGCACTGGCGCTCCCCAGCCACATGGCTGCCGAGCCCATGGCCTAGCTTCCTTCCCAAGAAGAGCTAAGACCCCAGGGAAAAGGAAAATGAAGCAGAAAGCAGGAGGCTCCCCAGCCTGCAGCCCAGTGGACAGACCCAGGACGGAAGGCTGAACCGCACTGCATTGCTCACACAATCAATCCCCAGCACCCGCAGGACCCCATTCTGCTCACCACTGTCTGCCAAAGAGGACCCACTGCAATCACACTGGGCTGGGCGTCTGGCCCAAGTACCCACATGGACGTCCTTGCATAGCCTACCCTGTGGTCCCATGGGGCCGTATGGGGATCATTCTGTCCTCCAGCACAGCTCCCTTCCCGCAGCACATCACATCCTGCAGTATCCACACGCTGCTTCAACAGCGCCCTGCAACACAGCCCCAGCACTGGATGGCGCTGTCTCCCAGCCTTTCCAACGAGCCTTCCCACTGTCGGGGACTCTCCCTTGGAGACATTTCTCCCATCCCCAGATGAAGGAAGTCAGCCTGGGATTTTATTGGAACCCCAAATCAAAAGACAGAATACTAACCATCCTTTCTGTGCTGGGGGTATCTGACGGAGCCAAGAGCTTCCCTCCCGGAAGCTCCAGCCCATGCATGGGGCCCTCCCTTTCAGACACCAAAACCTCCAACTGACACATGGACCTGCCAGCCTGTGGCCCCACGGGTCATCGGGAGTGTATCATAGCAAGGTGCCATCTGCAGTGGATGGCGCCACCCTCCCAACACAAGAAGCTGGCTCGGCACGGAACAGGCTTCACCTCTTATTGGGTACAAAGGGCACCACTGTCCCCCAGCCAACCTGCAGGAGGCAAGCAGTCCATGGACACGGTGAGGGCCACGGCTCACAGGACAGTCAAGATGCCAGTGAGACATCCTCAGTGGGCTTTTTAAACCAAGAGCAAAGACCATACTTTCAGGGATCATGTCCATAGTTCATTACTAAAGTAGTATATCTGAACATATAGGGCACTGGAAAGCACAAGGGGCTGGCACAGCCTTCTCTCCTGAGCTGCTCAGAGTTGTTGTTGCAACCCCCAGGTGCCACTGATGATTGTTCTCTTCCTTCAGGAGGGAGAGACCACAGACCCTCTCTATAAATGGGAACCATAAAGTGGCTCCCATTTATGTAAAAATAAACCAGCCTGAATGCAGTTGTCTCTGGAAGTGCATCCACCGGAGCAGTGGTCCCCCACCTTTTTGGCACCAGGGACCAGTTTGGTGGAAAACAATTTCTCCATGAACCAGGGGTGGGGGAGTGGTTTCAGGGTGAACTTCCGCCTCAGATCATCAGGCATTAGATTCTCATAAAGAGCACACAACCTGGATTCCTCACATGCGAAGTTCACAACAGGGTTCACACTCCTGTATCTAATCCCTTGCTCATCTGAGAGGGGGTGCTCAGGCAGTAAAGCTCGCTCACCCACCACTCACCTCCTGCTGTGTGGCCCAGTTCTTAACAGGAAAGACTTGTATCCGTTGGCAGGCCAGGGGTTGGGGACCCCTGCCCCGGAGGGACCAAGGACTGGTGTTTAAACCAGACAGGCAGTCACCAGACAGGACACAGCACACAGAGATCAGACAGAATAAGGCCCAGGCCCAGGCAGAGAGCAGGAAAGAACAGGTGATGGCAGCAGGCAGCCAACCTCACAATGAAGCACCCTGGGCAGGTGTTCATGACAAACGGTGACAGGGCACCTTACGGCAGTTGGGACCACACACTGAAGATGTTGTCTGCAAACAATCCATGATACATGAAGAACCCCAACAGCATCTTTGAAAACATCTTATTTGAAGTTACTGCAGATGCCCACAACTGCAACCAACACTGTCAAGTGTGGACTTCAAGTCCAGGGGGTCAAGAGCCCAGACGTTTTCTCCAAGGCCAGGGTACAAAAGGCTTTCCAACAGAGGGGCTACAGGGCTGAGCCCCACCCAGTACCAGACTGGCTTCTCTCTCCACAAGGGCCACTCTGCCACAGGGGCCAACCAAAGTCAGCCTTGGCCGATGCTACAGACCCACTCAGTTGGCTACTGCCTCCCTGCTCCAAAGCCAAGGTACTCTGGTGGTCTTCCTTTCTCTCTCCAAAACACTTTAAACCCACACTTCCTCACCACTGAAAACAGCAGTGGCTGTTCAGGCCATAAGGGGCAGTGGAGCCTGCCTCAGCCCTAGCAACAGCCAAGCCACACCTGGACACGGCAGAGCCCACGCTGCCCAGCCCACAGCCTTGCATCAGTGCCACATCCAGCACCAGACACCCCTGGCCACATTCCCTCCCCAGCACCAGCTCAGACACCTCAGTTTCAAGGCCCACAGCAAGACACACACACGATCTGACACCAGGGCAGGAACTCCAGGCTACAGTGAAGCACAGCACCCACCGCCACCTTGCACAGGCCCAGACACACCCCCCCCGGGGGCTCAGGAGGGGTGGCGCCTATGGCGCCCACAGCACAGAGGCCCATACACGCACAGTCCTGCTATCTGGTCCAGGTTCCAAACGTGTTTTTTATTCACTATTTTTGATGACTATAAATAAGTGTTTCCACTATGGAAAAGAAAGTTAGCACAGTACATTTTCATGACTGGGGAATGGATTTTCTGAAGTCATCTTCAATAGGGCAAAAACTTAGAAAAAAAACAAGCTGAATGTTGAATTCAGTTCTTTATATAACGTCCCTTGTAAAAACGAAACAGAATAAAAACAAACCGAAAAAGAGGGGCAGGGTAAAATTTTTCTTAAAAAAAAGGAAAGGAAAGAGGAAAGGAAATAAAATAAGACGGTTTATTGCTTCTCCTCCGCATCCTCCTTGGTCTCCTCCTTCACCGAGAGAGTTTCTAGCTTTTCCGCCACTTTTTCAGCATGATCATTTTTGCCTGATCCTGCTAAAACACAAGGAGCACAGTGAGAAAACCAGCACAGTGCTTGCAAGCACATGGCCCTCACCAGGCCAATCCTGGGCGCCACCACCCACCCACAGCAGCTCGCCCGCTCAGGACAGACTACTGCCCGGCCAAGCCACCTCCCGGAGTCTGTCTTGAAACCCAGTGACCACAGGAGGCCAAGTGGATGCATTTGAGCACTGCCTAGACCATGGTCAGGCTGCTCAGGGACATCTGGCCACCTGCCACCACAGCTGCAGTCCAGCCTCACAGCAGAGGACCAAACCCTCTGAGAGACAAACCGAGGACCATCGTAAAGCACCTTTGGCTGAGCTCCAGGCAGTGCCCGGACGCCAGTGCCCGCCCCCAAGTGGACGTGAGTCCAGGAACACTGACGTGCTCAGCGCTTCCCAGGAAGCACCTGTGTCCCCAGGCAGCTGCATCTCCCTGGATAGGTCAGGTGGCCACCACAGCACCCTGGAATGTTTATCTGGCAGACAGAAAAAGCACCCGCCTGGAAGTGCAGTCAGGTGCAGAGTGGGTCTGCAAGGAATCCCCCCACCCATGGCACCACAGCACCTTTCTTTTCTCTCTCTTCGATCTCTTTCCTGCATTCTTCAAACTTTGTTTTGAATTTCTGTGCATCTGTGTGGAAGGGAGAGAGAAGACTCTAAGAGCTGTGAGCAGTGGAAGGGATATGCCCTGGCAGGTCTGAAGAGCCAGGATTCACAGAAGACCCATTTCACAGTAACTTCTGTCCTAAGAAAGGGCTGGAGCATCTGACACTGGCCCTGGCCTTTTGTCTCCTTCCTCTGACTATAACCATTTAGGCAGAGTGGTGGAGCCTGGGCCTCTCTGCCACAGGCTCGGCTCCCCACCATGTTGGTAGGGCTGTTGGGGCAGCCACTCCTGGAGCAAGGGCAAGGTCACTCAGCACCAGATGGCCAGCTACCAGGTGCCAGGCCACAGCACCCACCAATTCCTCCAGGAGCCACCAGACACAGCTTGGATGATCCGGACATCCACCTTCACACTGTGTGACACCCCCAATCGCGCACACACACACACAACCCACCAGACACCACACCCCTCAAACACTACACGCACCCAACCACACATCCCAGCCCCTGCTGGCACCCAGGCAACCATGAAGGGCCCCTGGCCACAGCGAGCACGAGGATCAGCACTGGGAGGAAGCCCTGGGACGGGTCTCAGGCTCCACAACACCTGATGGGAACTGGAACTTAAAGAGAAAACCAAAGCATCAGGCACAAGGGGACTGAGTAGACGCCGCTGTTCGGCAGCTACTTGGCAGCTTTGCATTTCAGAGGGAAGGCACTGCTTGTGGCTTCAGTAAACGGCAGGGCAGGGCAGCCCAAACTACACACGTCCCAGTTACTACCCCACTCCCCAAAAGGCAACAGCATTTGTTGCACATAACCCGCCACACTGCCATGCAGGTGATCCCCAAGTCAGGCGGGTCCCCCAGGGTCCCCTGGCTCACTCTCAGCATTCAGGAAGCGGATGGCCAGCAACTCTGGCTTGGGGCACTCATCGGCGAAGTCAGCATGGGTGTTCCAGACCCAGGCACGGTCGCTACCCGCATTGGGCTTCAGCTCCATCATCGGCGTGACTGAGGAGAGAGAAGATGGTGAGGACGGCGGGATGACTGAAAGGCCAGCACACGTAGTCCTCGGCCACAGAGCACCCTGCTCATTCACCTGACAGGTCTGCTTCAGACAACACTGGGACAGTCCATCTGGGGTCAGAGAACTAGGCTTAAACAAAGTGCCAAAAGGCCTGAGTTTTATTCAAACCTTTAAAAATGCCCCATAATCACTTAAAACCAGGACCATCCTCATCGGGAACAGGTGGTCCCCTGATCGTAAGGCCATCTCCACGAGGAACTCGAGCCGTGTGCACGACCACTTGATACACAGACCCCCACCTCCAGAAATGCCGAGAAGCAGAGCCGGAAAAGCAGGCCCCAGCTCCAGTTCCAGGGCTGCACTCAAGCCCAACACGGCTCCCCTTGGTCCTGACCCCAACCACACAGTCAGAAGCCCGGGGTCAGACGTGAGGGCGCAAGGCCCAGGGGGCCCAGCCTTTCCTGAGGGAACCCAACACATGGAGCCAGCCCAGCTGAAAGTGGGGGGCAACCAAGGGCTGGAAAGTGGGGCAGTTGCCAGAAAGGAACCCACTGGGGGCTGCAGCCCGCAGCTGTGCACACCTCCATCCCCATGACTGATGCCTGGAGGACACAGGAGACAGAGCCACAGCCTGCAGTGGATGCCTCCCCACAATTCCTCAGGCACAGGCAGCCCCAGGGAGAGATGACCCTGCAGGCGACCACTCTTCAGAACAGCTCCCTGAGAACCCGGAGCATCCCCAGTGGTGCCCGCACCTGGCCCAGGCCACAAGCATCCCCAGGCTACCCCTACATGTCACCATCTGAACTGGGAGCTGGGGGATCTCGCCTACTGCAGCCCGCCACAGCAGATGCCAGGCCTCCTGGATGCCCCCTTCACACCCAGCCCCCGAGCCAGCCCACAGCCTCCCTGACACCCCATCCAGAGGCCAGCCTCTACCCAATGCCACTTTTCCTGTCTACCAAGGGCCCATGATGGGCACAAGACACTACCGACTATGCAGATGGCTCTGCCTAGATGCCCCAGGGCCCAGGACCAACTTACCATGCACACACAATAACCCGCAACCTGACCAGGCTCTGGGAGCAGCACAGGGCATCAGGGAAGACCCCTGAGGAAACGATTCAAGCTGGGCTCGAGGAGGAAGAGGACCAGCCAGATCGCAGGCTTCCCCAGGACTAGACATGCTGGGCAGGGAGGGTGGGGAACCCAGGAGCCAGTTCCCAAGGAAGTCTGGCAGGCCAGGCCGTGCACCAAGGTGCCCACAGCACAGGCAGACCTCCGCCCACCCCCCTGCATTGCCCGCAAGGGCCGAGCCACTCAGGCTCCTGCCAGCAGTCATCCTGCACCTGGGATGAGGGTCCTGCCCCACCAGACACACATGACACTCAACAAACGACACTAGGAAGCTTACCAAAAGACACCCCAAGACAAGTGTACTTCCAGACATGCCACCAAGCCGGGCAGCACAATCTAAGGACAGCTGGCAGCCAGACACACTCGGGACAACCTATTGCCACTTCTTTCCAGGCCAGGCTGGGCCCCTCACAGGGTGGCTAGAGCTCTCGGCTGAATCTGCCCAAGGTCCTCTACTTATGTAGCTTCACAGGTGCTGAGGGCCTGGCCACCTTCTCCCCAGCCCCGTACCCTCCCCAGGGAAGATCCTGGTGAGGGTGGAACACATCATAGCTGAGGAGGCTGGCGCCTGGGCACCTCACACATCCACCTTCACACTGCCCGATGCCCCCAATCTCACACACACGCCCCCCAGACACCACACCCCTCAAACACTACATGCACCCAACCACACATCCCAACAACACACATCCCCCCGACACTACACACAACCACATTTCCAAACACCACACACACACATCCCCAGACACCACACACAGACACCGACACCACACATCCCCCCAACACCACACACACAACCACATTTCCAAACACCACGCACACACATCCCCAGACACCACACAGACCCCGACACACCTCCCCCTGACACCACACACACAACCACACGTCCAAACACCACACACATCCCAGACACCACACACACACCCACACTTCCAAATACCACATGCACACCCAGACACCAAACACCTTCAGACACTACACATACCCCCAAAACACCACCCCTCCAGACACCACACACAATCCTCCAGACACCACACCCAGAGACCACATCCCCCGAGGTATCACACCCCCCCGGCACCACACCCCCTAACACGCACGCACGCGCACACATACACACACACACACAGCGCCCCCTCGCCCTGCCCTGCAGCACTCACTCCTCGTCCCGAGCCCAGCCTGGGTGCCGCGTCCTCCCGTCTGGCTGCCTCCACACCCCCGTGTGCTCTAAGCTTCGCTGCGGGCCTGCTCTGAGTTCAGAGGCACGTCTGAAAAACGTATTTCTGGTTTTAAATTCAACAAACACACCACAAACTTGCACGCTCCATGTAATAACACGCTCCCCAGTTCCCAGTCAGCCCTGAAAGAATCTTCCCGAAGGTCCCAGGCCGAGCTGCTGGGGACTGCTGGGCCACCTACTATAGTGGTTGGCACAGATCTTCAGGGTCTTGTCCCGCCGCATGAGGAGGCGGATGGTCCCCTTCTCCTTGTGCTTCAGAAGCTTGACATCGCCGGTGCCCCGCTCCTTCCATTCTGGGAGGTCGTTCTCTGAGGCAAACCGGAACAGTTTCGCCCGCCTGCAAGAAAAGCCGTCAGGTTAGGAATGCAGACCTGCAGCTCATATGCAGCGCCTGCATGAGACGACACAGGACAACCCTGCGCTCAGGGCCTGACGCCTCCACCAACACTGTCATACCACCACCAGAAAGCGCAGCAGCTCAACAAACTCCAGGTCATCTTGAATTCCAATTCTACTACCCAGAGAATTAGACGACTGGGCACGGTGGCTCATATCTGTAATCCCAGCACTTTGCGAAGCTGAGGCAGGCAGGCCACCTGAGGTTAAGAGTTCAAAATCAGCCTGGCCAACATAGTGAAACCCCGTCTCTACTGAAAACACAAAAATCAGTCAGGTGTGGTGGCGGGTGCCTGTAATCGCAGCTACTCAGGAGGCTGAGGCAAGACAATCACTTGAACCCGGGAGACAGAGGCTGCAGTGAGCTGAGACCATACCACTGCGCCTGTGGTTGCAATATTTCCCCCAACAAAGACCAGCCTGTACAACACAGAGAGACAACATCTCTACAAAAAGATAAAAAATTAGTTGGACATGATGGCTAACGCCCATAGTCTCAGCCACTCAGGAGGCAGAGGCAGGAGGATCTCTTGAGCCCAGGAGATCAAGGCTGCAGTGAGCCATGATCGCACCACTGCACTCAGCCTGGATGACAGACAGGGACCTTATTTAAAAAAAAAAAAAAGAAAGAAAAGAAAGAAAGGGGGAGAGAGAGAGAGAAAGAGAGGGAGGGAGGGAGGGCGGGCCCAATGTAGGAAAAGAAGCCCCCTAGGTGGGCTGGGCATCCCACGGTCACTGTGCAAGAGCACCCCAGCCCAGAGATTCGGGGGAACAGCATGGATCAGGTACGGGACAAGGACCTCCACCCTACACCCAGCATCCCTCAACTATGAGATGGCCCCTGTTCTCCCCGAGACCCCAACGCAGAGAAGAGGCCCAGGCCTCTGCTCAGTCAACAGGCCCTGGCCAACACCCAGCCCTCCTGCCCGGGAGCAGCCCCTCCCACTGAGGACCGGGGTACCCAGAGCCCAGCAGTCCACTCTCAGGGCTCAGGCTGCGCCCTCCCTCCGCACCCAGCCCTCCTGCCCGGGAGCAGCCCCTCCCACTGGGGACCGGGGTACCCAGAGCCCAGCAGTCCACTCTCAGGGCTCGGGCTGCGCCCTCCCTCCACACCCAGCTCCGCCTGCCTCTCTCAGACGACTCTGCTCTCTGCCCCCACATGATTCTGGCAAGGGAGACTGTGCCACAGGCTTCCCAACAGGACACCCCTGGAGCTTTACTGCAGACGCCCAGGCCCACCCTGTTGGCCTCACCTCCCTCAGAGAGGGCCCAGGCCCAGGACACCAGGAACACCTCCCACCCAACGTGGGCAGTGAGGGGATAGGGGCAAGCACTTTACCCCAGGAAGGAGCTACTCCCAAACAGGGGCTACAGCAACGCATCAGCAGAGTGGAGACCCAACCACCCAGTGGCTTCAGGGACATGTCCATCACCCTCTGTGACCAAAGAGTGACACAGGTATCCCTCCCAGTTATCCTTTCCCAGGTACCTGTCCCCAGCCCCCTTCCTTGGAGGAGACTCACAGTAGGAATGACTCTCTCTGCTTCCCTCTCCCAACCCAGAGCAACCCAATCTTAACCTGGGCTCTTGAAGCAACTCCAGGGGTGGGGAAGGCTCCATCAACTTGAACAGGGAAAAACTGCAACCTCATTTTCACTAAGGTACGTAACTAAACACAGTGTTTGGCCAGGCGCGGTGGCTCACACCTGTAATCCCAGCACTCTGGGAGGCCAAGACGGGCGGATCATGAGATCAAGAGATGGAGACCATCCTGGCCAACATGGTGAAACCCTATCTCTACTAAAAATACAAAAAAATTAGCCGAGTGTGGTGGCACGCGCCTGTAGTCCCAGCTACTCAGGAGGCTGAGGCAGAAGAATCGCTTGAACCCAGGAGGCAGAGGTTGCAGTGAGCCGAGATTGCGCCACTGCACTCCAGCCTGGTGACAGAGCAAGACTCCGTCTCAAAAAAAAAAAAAAAAAAAACAAAAAAAAAAAAAAAAAAAAAAAAAAAAAAAAAAAAAAAGGTGTTTGTTGCAATCCTGAGTGTAGGTGACAGCTCACAGTCTCCGCAGTGCTGTGACATTGTCACAAGACACAAGGCTGGTACCCACCACTGCAGCCAGCTCTTCAGTGAGGGTGTTAAGAAACACACGTACAGTTTTTTTAAAGTGGCTTTAATAACTAAACCATCACCTTTATTCTTCATGTGTAATTGCAAACGTTATTTTGTGTATTAAAAACACCAGGTGGGGGATTTATAAGTTTCACAACATCAAAAATGCCTATGCTGCAAAAAGTTAAAACCCCCTGCTCAACCAAGGGAATCCCTGGATCCTCAGAAGCCAGTGCAAGGAAGGGCAGCAGGGCTGCCATGCCAGTGGACAGAGCAGCAGCGACAGATGCCTTCCATGCGACTGGCTGCAGGGCAGCAAGGGCACCTGGCAAAGTCATGAAAGGAATGGGTTAAATTTCCACATAAATTAGTCACCAAATAACTTTAGACCCTTCCTTTAAACAGCCTCAGTCCGATTCAAAGTCAGTCCAAGACCTGGATACCTATAAAAGTTGTAAGTTCAACCTCACACTAAAGATTCCTATTTCTAGGATATCGGCATACTTACATTTTAAAAAGTTCCTCTTCATCTTCTTCCAGCGTTTTAATTTCTTGCTCAGGAAGAGAAACTATTGGCTCAAACTGAGGATCATGGTTGGACTCATCTGCATTCTCAGTGGAAGTATCATGGTCCTCATGAGTGTCCTGTGGAGACAGATACAAAGAGGTTACATTGCTGGCCTATGGATCTGGCTCACAGCCAGAGCCCAACCAGTGCCTGCAATGGTCAGCCCCACCAGTGAAGGGCTTTCAGATACAAGGATGGGCCCCACCCCAAAGCAAGAAACCAAGCCCACTCTTCCACACTAGGAAAGATTTGCATTTACACCCAGCTCCACAGACTCAATGCGTGAGCCTACAGCAAGACACCAGACCTTGGGCCCCTCCCTCCCATTCACAGATATCAATCATCTGTGCACAGATTAATGGGGGACCCTACAAGACAGCCAACACTTGCAGAGAGTGGCCTGGGAGAAACTGCATCTCTTTGAGCATCAGTTTCTTCCTCATCCATAAAATGCAGATGATACCTGCTGTGTGAAGATCAAAGGACACAAAGGTAAGTCGAAATGGATTTTGAAATGTTCCCTTAAAGCAAAATGTAACCCTTTCAGTTTTTACTAATTTGGAAATAGCTGTGCTCTTGCTTACTAGAATGAAAAAGTTGCTACAGGACTTCCGTGGTTTACAGTGGATTCACAACTCTGCCAGCAATTTTTTCACAGTTTAGGAAATTATTAAGTAGATAAACTATAACCGGCACAAATCATGAAATCCTGACCCAATTTAGAGAATAAGAAAGCACCAATAATCATATTTAAGGTTGGAGTCTTCCAGAACACGGGCCGTAGTCACCCAGTAAGAGACCCAAGACTTCACCACTTAACACAAACTGGAAAAGAAAACATAAGCTTTTGGCTGCTCTTCCCTGGTCCCCAGAGTACTGCGACTCCGCAGCGGCCCGCACTCACTCAACCAGACACCGCAGCCAACAAAGCCGCCCCCTGGGTGGGCGCGTCCAGGACCTGTGCCCCACGCTGGAACGCGACCTTCTGCCAGAGGCCGGTGGCGGCTCCAGACGTGAGAACCGAATGAATGAAGTGCTGCGTGGGCGACGGAAGTAATAAATGCACCGTACTAGTGGGAAGCCCCAAGTGGGCCGAGCCGGAGGAAACCTGCCGCCCGCTCCAGTTTCCAGAGGCCAGGGTCGCCCCGCGTGGCGACGGCCGCTCCCCAGCCCACCCCAAGGTCACGCGGGCGCCCTGCAGCCCCCAGGCCCAGAAACTGCACCCCCAGACGCCCCAACTCTGCAGGCCTCGAGCCCCCAGGCCCCGCGCGCCCCGACCCCGCGCCACCGATACCCTACAGACGGCCGAGCCTGCAGGCCGGCGGGGGTTGGTGGCTGCGGCGCGGGCCGCCCACGTGGCCGCTGATAGCGACCCCAGTCCCATCGGCCCCGCCCGCCCACCCTGTCCCCGCTTGGGCCCGGCCGCACCTTGGCGGCCGCCATGGGGGCGCGGCGGCGGCGGCGGCGGCTCAGCTGGGTCGGTCGTCGCTGGCTCCGCGGCCTCTCGGCGGCTACTCGTAGCTCTTTCCGTCCGCGTCTGGCGCTGGCGCCTCCCGCCTGCCCGCTCTTCCCTCCGCCCCGCGACCCGAACCTCGACCCCTGACCTCGGCGGCGGGAAACGCGCCACGATTCAAAACCACTACAGCTTTATTAGCTCATGCGGCGGACATTCTCATTGTCCGACCCGCCCCGCGCTTCCCGCCAAAACGCCCGCGGCGCATGCTCGGCCCGCCCTTCAGCCAGAGGAGGGCGCACTCCCGGCGACCCCCGCGCGCACTTCCGGCCTGGCCACGCGCGCCTCTGGAGCTGGCTGAAGTGGTTGGGGGGTTGTAGCCGGCGCGTGGCGATGATGTTGCCGGAAGCCAGGATCATAGAGACGCGTGGCCTCCGCGGAACGCTCTGGCGGACTAAGAGTAGCGGGCGAAGCGAACGGCCAGCGCGGGCCCCTGGCGGGCGGGCGGTGCAGCCCCAAGCCTGAGACCCGGACCTGAGCACCGCAGGTTCGATTCCCGCCCCTGCCCAGGGCGAGGCTGGCGGTGGCGGCGACCTCGCGACGTTGCACGGGCTCTCTGAGCACCTCCCCTCTGAGCACTTCTCGTGTGACGGGACCAGGACGAGGTGGCCAGGCGGCCCCCGTGGCGCCCCTGGTCTAGGCGGAGAACGACCTGGGCGATGAGTGAGAACCTCGACAACGAGGTAGAGTGCGGGGAGACGGTGGGTAGAGACGGGGTTGGGGTGGGAGGAGGCAGGGTGGGGCAGGAAATCTGCCAGAGAAGATGTAGGGTAGGGACGGGTGCTTTGGGGTAGGAAAGGATACGGGAATGGGATCAGGAGGGTAGAATGGGGGAGGGGAGGGGCAGGGCTGAGTGCAGAGTGCACCGATGGAGGTCTGGGTGTGCCATAGGGGAGCCTGGGGGGCCAGACCCCAGGGCCTGGTCCTCACCCTAGCACCCCATCTGTCGCCACACAGGGCCCAGAGCCCGTGGAGAGCTGTAGCCAGGAGAGCAGCAGTGCCCTTAATGGCCCTACAGCCTCGGTGTCCCCTGCAGCCCCAGCAGCCCTAGAGGAGGCAGAGGAAGAGGGGGCTGGAGCAGCTACAGGGTCGGGGCCTCAGCCCGGGCTCTACAGCTACATCAGGGATGACCTGTTCACCTCTGAGATCTTCAAACTGGAGCTGCAGAATGTACCTCGCCATGCCAGCTTCAGCGATGTCCGTCGCTTCCTGGCCCGGTTTGGCCTGCAGCCCCACAAAACCAAACTCTTTGGGCAACCACCCTGCGCCTTCGTGACATTTCGCAGCGCTGCAGAGAGGGACAAGGCCCTGCGCATTTTGCATGGTGCCCTCTGGAAAGGCCGCCCACTCAGTGTGCGCCTGGCCCGGCCTAAGGCCGACCCCATGGCCAGGAGGAGGCGACAGGAGGGTGAGAGTGAGCCGCCCGCAACACGAGTGGCCGACGTAGTGACCCCTCTATGGACAGTGCCCTATGCTGAGCAGCTTGAGCGGAAGCGGCTGGAGTGTGAGCAGGTGCTACAGAAACTCGCCAAGTGAGTGAGGTTGGAGACACCCCTCCTGGCCGGGGCTCTGCCCAGCCCTGTGCTTGCTCAGCCTGCCTGCCCGTGCACTAGTCAGGAGGCCCAGCACAAGATCTGGCAGCCCTTTTGGGAGCTAGCCAGTGAGACACCCGTGTTACCATGGGCACAATGACATCCCAAAGGAGGAACCAGGAGCCTGGCCATTTGGGGAGTGGCCGGGCATGGGTGGGGGGCAGCAGGTGGCGTCCAACCACAGATCTGCTCCTCTTACAGGGAAATTGGAAGCACCAACCGTGCCCTTCTGCCCTGGCTGGTGGAGCAGAGGCACAGGCACAACAAAGCCTGTTGCCCACTGGAGGGGGTCAGGCCATCACCCCAGCAGGTCAGGCTCGACTTCAGCCGCCACAAACCCCTATACTGGGTTTTGAAAAACTTTGCTTTTGCTCACCTTTCCGGTTGCTCTCCCTGTTTTGTGTTTTCTTCTGGTAACTTATCACATACCTGTCAGTTGTCGCTCTTGTGTTTTGACTGCCAGCCTCTGTGGGGAAATCAAGGTTTTCAGGGCACAAGCGCTGGACAGCCAGGGTAAGGTGCAGCTGTCTCTCCCTGCCTCCCCGCAGACCGAGTATCGTAATAAGTGTGAGTTTCTGGTTGGCGTCGGGGTGGATGGGGAGGATAACACCGTGGGCTGTCGGCTCGGCAAGTACAAGGGCGGGACGTGTGCTGTGGCAGCCCCGTTTGATACCGTGCACATCCCGGAAGCAACCAAGCAGGTGGTGAAGGCCTTCCAGGAGTACATCCGGTGAGGACCTGTGACAGGGCTCCTGGGAAGTTCTGCGTAGTCTGAATTGGATGGGGATCGGATCCCATCCTGGGAATTCTGGGGTGCCTGCCATTGCAGCCAGGCGGAGGAAGATGTGGCCCAAGGAGAGAGCAGAGGGCTGCTTCCCCAGTCGTGGGCACCCAGCCAGCTCGTGATTCCCACAGGTCCACGCCATACTCAGCATATGACCCAGAGACGTACACAGGCCACTGGAAGCAGCTGACTGTGCGTACTAGCCGCCGCCGCCAGGCCATGGCCATTGCCTACTTCCACCCTCAGGTCTCAGGCGGCAGTCCTGTTCGGGGAGGGTACATACCTAGCCTGGGTGGGCCTCGCCACAGCCTGATGGGACCTTTTCACCTCTTACTCCAGAAACTGAACCCTGAGGAGCTGGCAGAGCTGAAGGCCTCCCTAGCACAGCACTTCATGTCAGGGCCAGGCAGGGCCAGTGGAGTGACCTGCCTCTACTTCGTGGAGGAGGGACAGCGGTGAGGAGCCCGAGTTGGGTGGGACGGGTCCCTGCAGGGGCTATGACACTGAAAGACCTGCACTTGTGCCCACAGAAAGACTCCCAGCCAGGAGGGCCTGCCCCTGGAGCACGTGGCTGGGGACCAATGCATCCACGAGGACCTGCTAGGGCTGACCTTCCGGATCTCTCCACACGCCTTCTTCCAGGTAGCCCTGAGTACCTGGTGTGCATGGGGGCATATGGAGGGAAGCCTGACGCAGCATCAGGACATGATGGGAATGGTGGGCTCAGGCGGCGAAATCTGGGGAGAGAATCGGCAGGGGGGCCACCGGGGAGGGTAAAGTAAGAAAGAGGTTGGTTGTCACTTTTTTGATTCATGACAGCCTAGAGGTACACACAGCAGTGGCCCTTCTTGTCATGGGGAGGTTGAGGCATGGCCCTCAGTGCACTACCAAAGGGCACTGCTCTGGGCTTGGCAGGAGGGAGGCTGTGGTGGCCTCTGGGCTGGGGAACACTGTGTCACCATCCCACTCGCTGCTGCAGGAAGGCTGTGGGGACCAGGAGCAGCGGTTTTTGGGGACAGGCCTGGCAGGACCTGCTGGAGGGCCAGGTATAGGGGTGGGAACTGCAGTTGGGTAACTCCAGGGGCCCTGTTGTGAATTGTGGGAGGCAAAGTCCCCTTGCTGGGGCAGGAAAGGTACAGCCTGCTGGCCCTCATGAGCCCTCAACCTATCAGGGCAAGGAGGAGGCCATTCTTAGCACAGGCCTGGCTTTTAAAGCTGGGGGCTGTCGCGCAGGGTGGCACGTGCCTGTAGTCCCAGCTACTCAGGAGGCTGAGGCTGGAGGATCTCTTGAGTCCAGGAGTTCTGGGCTGTAGTGCGCCATGCCAATCAGGTGCCCACACTAAGTTCGGCATCAATATGGTGACCTCCCAGGAGCGGGGGGGCCACCAGGTTGCCTAAGGAGGGGTGAACCGGCCCAGGTCAGAAACGGAACAGGTCAAAACTCCTGTGCTCATCAGTAGTGGGATTGCACCTGTGAATAGCCACTGCACTGCAGCCTGGGCAACATAGCAAGACCCCATCTCTTAATTAAAAAATAAAAATAAAAAAGCTGGGGATAGGGTGAGGGCATTAGCAAGAGTGGTCTAAGGTGGGGACAGGGAAGAGGTTGGGCACCAAGGTGGGCAGCAGGATGGAGGAACCAAGAACATGGGTCTCAGGGTGCCAGTGGCACCACAGGAAGGGGGGCCGCTGACATCCTGGGCACTGCCTTCCCCCAGGTGAACACACCTGCGGCCGAGGTGCTCTACACAGTCATCCAGGACTGGGCCCAGCTGGATGCGGAGAGCACAGTGCTGGACGTGTGCTGTGGCACCGGCACCATTGGCCTGGCCCTGGCCCGGGTGAGCCCTCCCGCCCCACAGAGGGCACCGTCTTCCCCACCCCGTAAGAGCCCCATTGACCCTAGCTTGAAGGCACCACAGCTGACCCCAGCACCCCATGCACTCCCGTCCCCGAGGTGGCCCTGGGCAGGCTGACCTCATGCTTTCCTGTTTCAGAAGGTGAAGAGAGTCATTGGGGTTGAGCTGTGCCCAGAAGCTGTGGAAGACGCCCGGGTGAATGCCCAGGACAATGGTGAGTGGCAAGGCCGTGGATGGGGGCAGGGACAGGGGCAGCTGCCACCCCTGCTGCTAGCCTCAGCGGTGGCTAGGGGTTCCCCAGGGCTGGCCCTGTGGGGAAGGTGTGCAGCCCTCTGACAGGCCACAGTGCCATCTCTTCAGAACTGAGTAACGTGGAGTTCCACTGTGGGAGGGCCGAGGACCTGGTGCCCGCCCTGGTGAGCAGACTGGCCTCCCAGCACCTCGTGGCCATCCTGGACCCACCCCGTGCCGGCCTACGTGAGTGGCTCCTGCTTAAAAAGGTGGCATGGGAACAAGGACATATGGGGTGGCTCATCAGGTTGTGCACACTCTGGCTGTGGGGACCCAGCTGGTATCTGCCTCCTCAGATTCCAAGGTGATCCTGGCCATCCGCAGAGCCGAGAACCTCAGGCGGCTGCTGTACGTCTCATGCAACCCCCGGGCAGCCATGGGCAACTTTGTGGAGTGAGTGTCAGCAGGGGCCTGGAGGGGAGCAGGCCTGGCACCAAGCTCCCAACCCCCATAAGAGCCCCTGACTAGCCCACTGGCTGACCTTGGTGCCCCTCTTTTTCCCCCACAGCCTCTGCAGAGCCCCATCTAACCGGGTGAAGGGTATTCCCTTCCGGCCGGTCAAGGCCGTGGCAGTGGACCTGTTCCCGCAGACCCCGCACTGTGAGATGCTCATCCTGTTCGAGAGGGTAGAGCACCCCAATGGCAGAGGGGTCTTGGGGCCCCACAGCCCTCCAGCTCAAGCCACACCAAGGTCCCCAGATGACACCCCACAGGAAACCAGGGCCTTCCCCTCATCTTAGGCCCGGGACCCATCGTGGGAACAGAAGCCAAGGGACTCCCCAGACCCCAGGGGTGGGGAAAGGCACAGCCTGCTGGCAAGGATGTTCAGAAGTAGGCGGCCAAAGGGTGCAGAACCCTGTGCCCCACAGGACTGACCTGCTGCTGGCGGGGAGGGGCCCTGACCAAGAAGGCGGGGTAGGCTTCTGTGGCCTGTTCCCTACCCACAGGGCCTTTGTAGACTAATCAAGGCTGTGAGGGCCAGAATAAACAACTGCTCAATGAAGAGTGTTTCCGTGATGAGAGCCAGGGCTCTGAACACAGGGCCTCCTTTTTGTCCCCTTGGGGCCTGGGTGTCAGAGAAAAGGCCTGAGCAGGCCTGTGCAGCTCTGTAAGCCCTTCTGCACAGTTGGGAATCAGGGCAAGAGCTTTTTAACAGGATGTTGGATTTGATGCTGAAACTTGAGGAGGCAGAGACAGGTCTGGGAACTGTGCATCAGCTGGGTGGATGGAGGTGGAGAGCATTGGGCAGTGAGCTGGCCCCTCCATGGCCTCCATCAACCAAAGAAGGGACCATACTGGGGTCCTGCTCAGCTGTTGCAAAAGTGGGGTCCAGCCTGCAGTGGGGCCAGGAGGGTATCTGGCCAGTCAAGGGTCTACAGGGTGCCAGCCTCTCACCCTCAAAATGAAGACACTAGCCATTCTCTTCTGGACAGTTTGCTTTATATGTTCAGTCAAGGCTCGCCTTCCAGGCAGCTCAGTGCCCTTGATGGCATCAGCACAGGCTCCCCTGCCCCGACCTTGAAGCACAGCTGTGTGCACATGATTCACGCCCACACTTGGCAGACAGGTTGGGGGGAACAGGGAGACTGTGAGGGTATGGCAGCACCTGCTGTGGTGCTGCCTGGGAACAGCAAGACGCAGTGAGGTTCCCCAGCCTCCAGAGGAACACATGTGCACAAAGCTTTGGTTCACAGGCGCATCTGGCTGGCTAAGGGCAACAGTCACAGTCAAATGACTATTCACAGCTGCAGACAGGAGGCAAGACAGAAGCAAGTATCTAATTACAGCAACTTGAGTTGAGGGTTTCTTTTTTAAAGGTCAACACAGAAGCCAACCTTGGTCACACAGGTGGTGAGGAAGGGATATGTTGTGGGCGGCCCATGGGCCGACACTGTTCTCTGACAAAAAAGGTGCCATCAGTACCACCTGTGGGGGACTTGGCGGAGCACAGAGGCAGCAAAATGCTGGACTCTTGCTTTAGATGGTGCACAACAAGCACACAGTACCCTGAACAGTTGCTAGAGATGGGGCCAGTGGCAGCCGCCACCACCAGAGGCCTGCCTTTGAGCACACCCTGGTGCCTCAGACTCAGGCAGGAACACATTTCCATCCCACACCCGTCCACAGGGGCCACCAGTAGAGAAGCCAGCTGGGCACTGGGCCTGGCTGCACAGAGCAGCTGCCTTTGACATCCAGAGAAGCCACTGTCACAGGTGACAGCTCTGGATCAAGAATGGGCTACGCTGAAGGCCCTTGCTTCCTGTTTAAACAAGTCCACTTGCTAAAATGCATGATTTCAAATCTACCTTCTACTCTCACTGTAAAAGTCTCTTTCCAAATGCTAAAATATCACAAAGGCTTTAAAAAATCAATGGATGGACGTATGGACTCAACTGCAAAAAATCTTTTGTAAAAAACTGTTGCCGGAGGCCAGCAAAAGCAGGGCCTCAGTGTACAGGGAGGCGTGTTTAGGGCGTTAAGACTTCATCAGAAAAAGGGGCCCCAGGAGGCCAGGGCAACTCTGGGGAGGTGGCAGGACGTTGTCCTCACTGGCATCGTGTCCAGACTGAAGAGGGACCACCTTAATGGTTTGCCTGCAATCCCAGAAGAGTAGTTCTGATGCTAAAATTCTGCTTATTTTAAGCCCAAAAGGTTTAAAATACTCCTTTCTGTTCTACCTTTACAAAGAAAGGGAAACACAGAAGGCAAGTGGGGGCAGGGCACCATGTATGCCTCCTGACTGGGTCCCTGCAGCAACTCCGCAGGCGCCCTGGGCACAAGGGCCACCTGGCATCACGGGCCAGCCACAGGACTCAGCCATCCCCTCTCATCTGCCATCCAAGCATCATGTGTCATCAGTGCATATTACATACTAAAATTCATGAAAGCCTTCATAAAAACAGCCTGTAGCAGGTGCACAGAAGCAGGGCCACCGCTGTCCAGTCACCAGCTGCCACTGGTGCAGTTGCTGAGTCCGTCTATTTAGGCCTGGGGCTTCCCAGGAAGAGCCGCTGCTCCATGTGTGTGCTGTGTGGCCGTGACTGTCCCCGTACACCAGAGCCTCCACCCTCAGGCTGGGCCCACAAACAGGTTGGCCACAGGGGAGGAGCTTGGGTCGGAGGCCTGACACTGGTGCACGATGCGTGACTACTGGTCTCCTCAGAAGTGCCGCTGGCGGCCCCCGTGCCCTGGCCCATGCCACCTCCCTCACACATCCACGGTGCACAGGGGCTCGCCGCCGGGTTGGGCGGACGCCACAATGGACATCTTGGGCTTCTTCCGAGTCTCCTCCTGAAAGAACAACAAAGGCCAGGGGTGCCGCTGAGGTGGGCTCGGTAGAGGGTTGGGAGGGCACGGGGTGGAGGGGGAGCCCAGAAGACCCAGGAGGCCCTGCAGCCCCAAGGGCGCCAGTGCTTGTGATGCCAGGCTGGGAGGAACAGAGAAGGCCTGGGGCAGGCCACGCTGAGTCTGCAGCCTGGAGGCCCCTGGATTGCCATCAGAGCATGGCATGTGCAGCCTCCCTGGTAATCAGGACACGTACCAAGAAGTGAAGAATTTTGGGTGCAGTTACAGTGACAGGCCAGGCCTCCCCACTGGTGTTTCTCCCTTGCCCAGCCTTTGCTTTCCTCAGGCCCAGCCAGGAGCACTGTGTCCTGTGCTTGCTGCCCTCCAGCCCCACAGACCCTCTCCCGACTAGGGGCAGACAAGGCAGTCTCACTGGCTCCAGGAGGCCAAGCCCCACCCCAGGGAGCAACAAGAGACCTGCTGGCCTGGGCGGTGGCAGACACCTCCTAGAGCTCTCACTCAGGCTAGGGGACTACCACACTTAAGAAAGCTCCCCGCAAGAAGGCCCAGGTGAGTGGGTCATGCTGTGGCCACACAGATACCTGAGGACAGAAGACACCACTACCAGCCTGACAGGCCCCTCTTTGAGTGTAGTTCCCAAAGGCGGCTTTAGGAGGCTTCATCAGGACCAAGCCCTACAGATTCAACCTTGGCAGGCACACTGACCTACCTCCAAAAACCCACTGTAGACATGGGACCCACGCACCCACCAAAGATGTGACCTTCATGGTCCACCATGCCAGCTCTCTAACAACAGAACCAAAACTGAAGTGACCTGTGAAACTGTCATACATGTTGAAGCTCAAAACCAAGCCTGTATCTGATTTTGGAAGGAGGATCCAAACATTTCCAAGGTGTCCGCACAGGCACAGGTCCTGGGGTCTACTCTCCCTCGACAGCTGCCACAGGAATGGCCATGGCCTGGAAGCCCTCCACTAGGGTGGCACTCACCCTCTCCTCAGCCAGCCTCTTCATCTCCTCCTGGAGCTTGCTGAGGATGTGCAGGTTGGGCTTGTTCTTCTTAGCATACTGCTGCAGCTCAATCACACTTTTGTCCGACGTCTCCTGGGAAGCACAGCACCTCACACTCAGACTGCAGGTTGTAGCTCCATGGCCTGCCCCCTGCCCAGCAGCTGTATGCCTGGGACCCTGAAGGCAGGCGCTCCCAGGGCCTGGCAGACACGAAAACAGCCAGGAGCTGTGGCCACACAACTGCAGGCTGACTGTCCGCCTCAGTGATGCCAGGCCTGCTGACAGCAGCAGAGGACGAGGGGCAGTCCACAGCCACTGGGCTTACTTTCTGCCCACACCACGCCACTTATGTGGCCTCCTGCCCTGGGCAAAGCAGGGAGGTGAGGTGCTCATGGTACTCAGAGCCCTCATCAAGGAGGGAAACCAGAGCATGGCCACAGCCAGTAGGAATAGCACACTGCAGAACAGCCGCAGCCCAGCCCGTCAGCCCCAGGCACTGAGCTCGCTCTCTGCTCGCTCTCTGCACATTCCCTGACTGCAGAGTAGCATCAGGCTGGCCTCAGCCCCTTCCTGTCTTAGGCCAGCCCCAAGGGTGCTACGGTTCCACGGGATGCCAGCATTCCCCACAGTTGTGGCTGTGCCAGCCTGGGACTTTTCCACTCCTGCTTAGAGAAGTTTCCCACCCTGGGGCCCGAGTAAGGTTTGCCTTCTCTTGCTCTGTCAGAGCCAATGACTACACACAGCAAAGGCAGAGGCAAGCACTACCTACACTTCAACTTGCTTCCCAAAAATGTCTCTCAAGTGGCTTAACACGCCCTGGTGGCCTGCGTAGACCCGCTCACCCTCAGACACAGGGCCCACCCACCATACAGTCCTGGGGCCACCCCACATGCAGCCCCCACCCCTCCACATTTATTTCCCATTCCACTGACCAAGATGGCAAGAACCCAGATATTTTCTATAGTCACTTGGGGGAAATGAGGAATATGAACACTCACCTCCCCATGTTTCCCTCCACCCCTCAGGAGCAAGTGAGCAGTGGCTTACATTGCAAGATCTTGGCCAGAACAGCAGAAACAAGACAGATGGCACACACATGCTCTTCTCTTAGAGCTGAACCGGCACTGGTACCAGGGACAGCTGCCCTGACACACTCACTCTCCTTCAAGCAGGAAGGACTGGGCCTGGCTCCCGAGCCTTTGCACACCTCCAGGCCGGGCGTACCTTCAGCATCTCCCGCCCAGCCCTGCCCTGAACTTCAGCCATCTCCCTACAACCCACATAGCTAGGCCCAGGCTGAGTTCCCAATCACTCACACTTCATTGACCATTCCCAGCAGGCTGCGGGGGGAGATGTAGCTAGGACGACCCCACCCTCTGCCCACAAAAACCACACAAGTAGCCCAGGAGAAAGGCAGCTGTAAGCAAGAGCGGAACTGCCCAGCCCTGCCCCTCTGAGCGCAGAGCCCCAGTAACACACTCCAGGATGGCAGCACAGGCTGCCCAGCGACCTGATGAGGGCCAGTTACCTGCTTGACCATCTTGCTGCTCTCACGGCCATACATGCGCAGTAAAGACCCCCAGTTCTTGACATGTGGGTGCAGCAGCTGAAGGATCTTCTGTGAGGCTAACTGCTTTCCAACTCTCTTGTTCTTACCTACACAGAGAAAGAGCAAGCTTGGAGAGAAGGGGCCATGAACAACC